CAGAAAGAAAGAAAGAAAGGCAGGCAGGCAGGCAGGCAGGCAGAAAGAAAGAAAGAAAGGCAGGCAGGCAGGCAGGCAGGAAGAAAGAAAGAAAGAAAGAAAGAAAGAAAGAAAGAAAGAAAGAAAGAAAGAAAGAGCTCTGATAAATGTAATCTTTGTTGTAGAAATTGAGAGGATGACAGATAAAGGAGGTGAGTATTATTTTAAATAACAAGTAATCACAGAATGCCTGCTGTATTCACTAAACCTGAACTGACACCCCTTGTACACATATGAGCCATGCTTCCTAGCATTACTAATTACCTATTCTTTAAAATATTCTTGCAAAATGGGAAAAAGTAAAGGATACTTACCCAACTGTCCACAGTCTCCCGATTTTATTTCAAGATCTCTTGCCTGGCAAAGTTTGGTTCAAGCAGCAGAAAGTGATAGAGAAATAGAGAAATAAATTCACCAATTTCCAGCTAAACAACTACGGTAAAGCCTCAGTTTCACAGACTTCCATTCAGTGGACTTCAGAAACAAACAAAATTGAATGTGTTCATTTTATGTAATTAATACATAGTTTCTTAATTTTACTTAATTTGGATGGACATTTTGTAAATTTACATAAATTGCTTACATTAACATAAAATACATAAAAGGAAACAAATAAGCTATTATGCTAGTCAGTCTTTTGTTTCTTCTAGAAAATGTGAAAGTTCATTACTCAGGTCTTCAAAATCAGCCAACAAGAGGACAAACCGGTTTATATGTCCTTTTAAAGATATATACTGTTATCTATATTTGCCAGAATCCATCTGCCTCATTTTATCCATCTCTCACTATGTTAGAATTTGAGGTCATTCTTTGAAACAAATTATGAGGTGGTTAGAATCTATGAAAGGGAATATTTCTATATGCAATTCACAGTAACTTTGCATTTATGCTTCTGCTTCAGCCTCTTCCAGCCCCATCCCACTTCCCCAGTTTGTTCCACCATGTCCAGAAAGGGTATTTATTCCTCATGAAAATCCTTCTTTTAAGCTGATTGCCTCAGATGTGCCATGTATGTTCCTTATGATGAGATCCCTGGTTTTTTACAAGGTTCATTAAGTGTTGACTTAAAACAAAAAAGTTATTGGCAGTTACTTAAAAAAAGAAAACATTCAAAGGAACATATTTTGTAAATTTCTATTTCTATGAAATTTCGCATAGTTCATTTCATCAGAATGATCCTGAAAATTTAATTGTATTCTAGTTAAAAATAAAAGAAATACTGAAAAGATATTGTTACAGGAACTGTTACAGAAATGCAACCCAAAACTCATACTTTGATTTTATTGAGACTTAATAATCTAATTCTCGTTAAAAACAACATAATTATACCATTTTATGATGGCCATATAAAATAAATGAATGAATGAATGAATGAATGAATGAATGGTAAGCATTTAGTAAAAGTTCAGAGCTGGAGGTCCTTCAAGAGGAATCCATGATGAAGGCCAGTACCAGAAGAGTTTCTCAAAGCAATCTGGTGGTGGTAGAAAATCTTATGTTAGCTGAGAATTCAACCCATCTGAAGATTTATCAAGATGAAATCTAGCAAAATCTTGTGAAGTGGGGTAAATAACATTTCAAAAGATTTTCTCAAGGTCTTTTATACAGGGCCTGGGACTCATATTGACTGAGTAGCACAACTATCCATCCACTTATTATAACATAATAGTGGTATTACCAAACTTTTAAACTTCAGGATCTAGCTGACTAGTCAGAAAGCCAAAATAGACTTCATTATCTAACCATTTGTTTGATAAACTGGAATGAATTTTAAGCCCTCCATTAAGTTTGTTTGCCTATTCATGCTCATGACTGTAAAGTAATTAAGTTGTGCTAAACTTTAACCATGGGATAAGCAACTTGTCACTATGACCAATATCAGTAAATTACAGGAAATGTAGTTTAGCATACCTGGAGAGTTTCAAGTAGCTTCCTCCTGTTACAATCTAGAATATCATCTGTTTTCGGAATGGGACTAAATCTTGGGTTAGGCACTTATTTCCTTTGTTAATTCATCTCAATGATTCATTATACTGTTTTATAGAACTTTCTGAAATCCGGAAGAGTTCAGGTAAGAGAAAACTCACTATATACTTATGGGGAAGCGGACCAAGGATTGAATTTGGGGCTGAGAAGAAATGTGGGTATAATAAAAACATCCTTTATGGTTGTAAGTTTTATAGATATTAAAGGAAATCTCTTTTTGCTAATTTATTTCAGGTCTAATTCTAGTTATTTAAGTCTACAGTTATATATAGCATCATAATTTTGTCCTGTATTCTAAAAAAAAAACAAAAAAACAGTGTAACTAATTGCTGTACCTTTCTATTTTAGAACGATGCTCAGGTGAACTGGGTAAGCTAAACTGCTTTTGATAAGTGCATTATGAGACCTATAGATTTGTACTAAACAAGGATTCATTACACTTTACTAGGGAAGATGAATTTTATTGAGCAGTATTTCTCAGAAAACAGTGCTCTAACAAACTTTCTGAGAACTTTGCATAATCTCCTGAATTTAGGATAATTTTATCCTATCTCCCTGGAGCATAGTCATTGATCCAAAACCCTCCAGTTTTAGGTAGAATATTAGACCATTCCAATTTCCTCTTGTGCTTCATAACCCAAGAACTTGGGATGGTAGAAACATAGAATATTTTTTATGCCAGATAAAATGTAAAGATTTTGTTCAGACTCATATGCTACGATGGATTTAGCAATCAAGATCTCACCAACAGTTTCCTTTGATCTTTCAGATCAACCTTGCATATTTATTTATTTATTTGTTTGTTATCACATTTTCATGGGTGCCCATCTCATAAGAAGCAACTCAGGGTGGTGTACAACAATCAATAAAACAATCATAAAAAACAATCATAAAAATATAAAAAGTCATTATTAAAAATGAAAAAAAATACTTAAAAAAATTAAAATACAGAAACTACACAAAGAGAGTAAAAAGATCAACCACAATGGACCCAGCCATCTAAGAATGTCTCCTGTTCCCTGGGACCCCCAGGCCTGGTGAAATAACCAGGTCTTGAGGGACTTCATGAATGGTAACAGGGAAGGAGCTAATCTGACTTTGCGGGGGTGGAGAGAATGTTCCATAGGGCAGGTGCCACAGCAGAGAAGGCCTACCTCCTGGGACTAGATGTAGGTCCCTGGTGGATGGTACCCGCAACATGCCTTCTCTGCCAGATCTAATGGGATGGTCTGATGTAACCCACTTCCCCAGGTCCAACAGGTTCAAACGATTCCCAGATAACCACCACAGTTATCTCCTATGGGCCTGCAACAAGGCCAGCATCCAACTCTGAGTGAATCCAAGCAATTTTGTCCAAAAGATGCTGAGCAAATTCCTCTGCATCTCCCTGCAAAAGTTTCCCAGGCCCCCTTTACCCAAGAGGGCTTGTGTCACCCAAAACAGGGCTGTGGGGCAGCAATCTGTGGGGTGGCAATCTGTGGCAGAGAAGTACTGCCATTTTGCTGCCCTTTCCATCACAAGGTAGGCCTTAATAGCAGCTCTAACCCATGTTTGATTGAGTTCATCCTTGGTTGAGGTCCAGTGATACTCTAGACATCTCTTCTCTCATTTCAACTCCCTCAGCTCCCCCTTAAACCATGGGGAGTGGCAGGATCCTGGAGAGGAGAGAGGTCACTTGGGTGCAATCCAACCCAATGCCTCAGCTTCCCCCTTATTCCAAGTGGCAACCAAAGCTTTGGATGGTCTGTGCAGCAGACCAACAGGAACAATCCCAGGTCCCTCTGAAATCCATCTGGGTCCATCAGTCACCAGGGGAGAGATATCTTGGAAGAGATGTCTTTGGTGTCACTTGTACCAGTACCTGCAGCAAAATAAACTGACACCAAAATGATAACAGTCACATGACGACATCATCCTGCAAATGCAAGTATTATGAACTTGTGTTTTGACATCTCATGCAAGTACATAAGCATCTGTGTGATGACATTGCCATGTGTATCTTATTATTTGCCTCTCAGTGCCCTCCATGTGAACACCCATGGACTTGAATTCATGTATCTTGCATAATAATTTTAACTATCTTCTCCAAGTTGGCATATCAGACATGGCATAAGTAATAGAACTAGAATAGTTGTGCTGATTTTATAGCTGACACTGTGCATAGGGGTTTTTTTTATTATTAAGTTGTTTTATCCTGCCTTTATTGTTTTTTATAAATAATTCAAGGTGGCAAACATACCTAATACTCCTTCCTCCTCTAATTTTCCCCACAACAACAACAAGAGGGGAGTTTTCTCTGACAGATACCTTACAATTCAATTAATTTGTTACCTATAATTTGGACAACATAGCTTCAAAATGTCTAGCAGCTACAAGTCTTGATGCCTACAATCTCCTATTGTCTCACATAACTTTAGCTACAGAATAAGAGGGAGGAATCCCCACATTCTTCTCAACCATAACAATAATGAATAAATGAGGTTGCAACAAAATAACCTACAGACAAAGCAGAAAATGCAACTCAGGAATGAACAGCTATTTTTTTTTTAATCTGG